AAAAAAAAAATTAGTTTACAGTTAAAACAAAATAAAAATAAACAATTTTTAAATGAAACATTTGAATTATTAAATAATATAGATAATAAAACTTTAATTAGTTATCTGTTAGGTAGATTATTAAGAATTATTAGTAATAATAATTTGTTAAATAACAATACCTTTTGTTCAAATGTTAGTATTGATTTAAGTAAAGATTTAGTAAATTTTTATATTTTAAATGAATATAAAAAAAATAAAGATAAAAATAGTTTAAGTCAATTTATAAAAAAAAATAGATTTGTAGCTTTTGAAAATGAAATATTTTTATTTCAATTTGGTATGTCTTTATGTGATATCTTATTAGAGTTAAATTTAATGGATATGGAGGTAATACAAACAGATAGGGAAACAAAACATACAATTTTTATCCCAAAAAAAAACTATTTCTGATAAATTAAAAAATAATTTTAGTTTTTTAGATTTACCTTATAAAATTCCTATGATAGTGAAACCTAAAGATTATAATAGAGATTTAGAAACTAGAAATGATATTTTAGGGGGATATTTACTTAATGATCTGGAGTTGGTTACACCTTTAATTATTAAAAATCCAGAATTAAAAAATCAATCTGTAATTGAAGATAAAAATATAATTTTTAAAATGGTAAATAATATTAGTAATGTAGGTTTTAAAATAAACCAACAAGTCTTAGATTTTATTATGGAATATGGTTTAGAGTATAATTTAATTATAGACCCTAATTTTATTCATCCACTTGAAACAATAAAAGATAGAAATAAGTTAAATTTATCAGAAAAAAAAAGTTTATACAGTTTTTTAAGTAAAAAACATTTAGAAATGAATATTTTAGGTTTAGCTGATATATTTAAATATTTGGCTGAATTTTTTATACCAGTTAGAATTGATAATAGAGGTAGATTATATTGTACGGCTGATTATTTAAATTATCAATCTACAGAATTAGCTAAATCTTTATTATTATTTAGTAATGGTGAAAAAATAGAAAAAACCGATACTATTGCTATAAATTATTTAAAAATATTTGGTGCTAATTGTTTTGGTAATGGTTTTGATAAAAAATCTTATAGTGAAAGAGTAGAATGGGTAAATAATAATGAGGAAAATATTTTAAATTTTAAAAATGGTATTTTAATTAATCAAGCTGAATCTAAATTGTTATTTATTGCATTTTGTTTTGAATATTTAAATTACAAAAATTCTTTAAATAATAATAATTCTTATTTTATTAGTCATTTTCCTATTCAGTTAGATGCTACTTGTAATGGTTATCAACATTTAAGTTTATTAACAGGTGATGAATCTTTAGCTTTAGAATTAAATTTATTTCCTGCTACAGATCAGGATGTCCCTAAAGATTTTTATACTTTTGTGGGATTGAAATTGACTGATTATTTTAAAAAAAAAATTATAGAAATTAAAGAAAAAAAATTAACAGATGAAAATCTTGAATCTTATGAAAAATTACTTAAACTAAATATTCACAGAAAATTAGTGAAGTCTTCTGTAATGGTTAAACCTTATAACGCCTCTTTACTTCAAATGGTTAATTATATTAAAGAACATTTCTCAGAATTAATAGAAAATAAAAAAAAATTTTATGTACTTGAGGGTAATAATGAGATAAAAGTTACTAACCAAGATTTATTCCTTTTAACTAAAACTATTAACAAAATTATTTATGTTGAATACCCTAAACTTAAAAAAATTAATAGTTATTTAAAAAAAATTGCTGAAATTTGTTCTACTTTAAATATTCCGATTGTTTGGGCTTTACCTTCAGGTTTAAATGTTAATCAATATTATGAAGAGTCTGAAGCCATTAGATTAAAACCATTTACATATAAAAAAAATACTTTTAAATTGGCGATAGGAAATAAAAAGATAAATAAAGCTAAACAAATTAGAGCTTTAATGCCTAATTTAATACAACTACACTCTTTGGATGCTACTTCTTTAGCTTTATTAACTGAAAATTTTTTTAATTGTTCAAACTCTAAGGTTAAAAATTTGTATACTATACATGATTGCTTTGCTGTCACTGGTAATAATGTTGAAATTTTGATTAATATTATTAAATTTGTATATGTACAAATTTATTCTGATAATAATTATCTAAGAAAATTTGATGAAGGTATTATAGAAAGTATTAAATTACAATTTGGTAAAGAAGTTTTTAATGATGAAAAAAAACATATTAAATTTAATGGTTTTGATTTAGAATATCCGAACATAGATTCAATAATAGATGGAGATGGTATAAAAGATCAAAATATAAAAAGTTCAAATTATCTTATTAACTAAATTTATATTTTAGAGATTGAATTTAAAAGGCATAACAATCTTAAATTAAAAAAAAAATAACCTTTTCTAAATATAAAAAAATTAAAAAAAAAAGAAAATGAAAAATATTCCTTTTAAAAGTTTTCTCTCTACTATTAATAGTACAGAGTTGAATTTTTTAAATTCAAAAAACAATTTAAAATATAATTTTAAATATCTACACTTCTCTTTAAATGATTTTACTACTAATAATTTTAAATTAAATACTACTTATTCTTTTTTTATAAAAATAAGTAGTCTTAACAATCTTGACTTTAAAATGTGTGGCCCCCAAATAGGTTTGGTAATAAAAAATGAACATGATCTTAATTACTATGATAAACTTTATACAGCTATTATTACTAGAATAGAATCGACTATTGAGAATTATAACTATATAGAGAGTATTGATGCAATAGAAATTATGTATTCTGTGTTAATACCACAACCAGAATTAACATTAAAAAATATTTCTAATTTATCTTTAAAAAAACAATTAATTAGTACAAAAAAAACAAAAAGAAATTTTAATCAAAATTTATTACCTCTAACTTTGGATACTAGTTATTTTGGTACACCGGTATATTTTATTGATAGATTAAAATATATTAATGTAATTAATAGTAGTAAAATTATAGTTAATAAAGAAAAAGAATTGTCCATAAATGATTCGGATAAAATGTTTATATATCACCCCCCCGCTAAAAAAAATAAATTAATAATAGTTTCTAAAAAAACAGATAATAATACTTATTTAAGATATATTTATGATTTGGAAACTGGTATTGAAATTAAAGTAATTAAAGATACTATTGTTTCTTCTATTAATAAAAATTTTGAGAATATTATATTTGAAAGAACTATTGATTCTGTAACATTAACTATTAAAAATCAAAAAATTATTAAAGTAAAAATACTTAATAAATTAAGTCCAATAATACCTAAAAATAAACCACAAAAATTAGATAGAAATACTAATTTTGGTAGTTTTGACTTAGAAACTTTTGTAGATGTAGATGGTTTAGCTAAAGTTTATGCCCTAGGGTTTTTACTAATCTAGATACAAATCCTAATTTATTTTATTTAAGTGATTACACTAATTTTGATTCACATCTTTTAATATTAAAGTGTATTGATTCGATGTTAATTAATAAATATAATAATTTTATTTTTTATACTCATAATTTAGGTCATTATGATATTGTATTCTTATATAATGTTTTATTAAATGCTAATTTGGAAAAAGGATTTGATTATTATATTTTAAAAACTACTATGAAAGAGAATATTATTATTAAATTAGATATAAAAATTAATAATAAATTTCAAAAAGAAGATATAATAAGTAAAAAGTCTAAAACCATAAAAATTAGTTTTGTTGATTCTTTAAATTTATTAAATAGTAATTTAGACAAATTAGCTAAAGACTTTAATGTAGCAACTAAAAAAGGCCATTTTCCTCATTTATTCGTTAAAAAACATAATTTAAATTATATTGGAAATAAACCAGACATTTCTTATTATAATAATATTAGTGAGAAAGAATATAATAGTTTAAAAAAAAATAACTGGGATTTAAAACAAGAGTGTCTAAGTTATTTAATTGATGACCTTAAGAGTCTTTTAGAGATTATGAATGAGTTTAGTAGTAAGCTATATATTAACTTTAATACTCAAATGACTGAAGCTTTAACTATTACTAGATTATCTTTAAATATTTTTTTTAAAAATTTTTATAATAAAAAAGTTATTCCCTTAATAAATAAAATATTTTTATTTAATTTTATTAAAGAAGGTTATTATGGAGGAATTACGGAAGTGTATAAACCTTATGGTCAAAATTTAATTTATTTAGATGTTAATTCTTTATATCCCTATGCATCACTAAAGGTTATGCCTGGAACTGAATGTACTTATATTGAAAGTTTAGAAGAACAAGGTTTAGACTTAGACAATTTATTCGGCTTTTTCTATGCTAAAGTTATTACTAATGAACAATACTTAGGTTTATTACCTCTACATATTAATAATAATTTGATATTTCCACAAGGTGAATTTTTTGGAATCTGGTCAAGTGAAGAACTTAAATTCGCTAAAAAAAATGGTTATAAAATTACAGTTATTAAAGGCTATAACTTCAATAAAGTTGAAAATGCTTTTAAAGATTTTGTTATTTATTTATATGATAAAAAAGCAAATTCGACTGGTTCTATTAAAATGATTTGTAAAAGTTTATTAAATAATCTAATAGGTAGACTTGGTTTAAACCTAATTAAACCTATTACTCAAACGGTTAATTTGATAAAAAGAGATTTTATAGCTAGTACTAGAATTATTTACTCTCAAATTTTTTTAAATCACGATAAATATTTATTAACATATAATCCAACTATTTCTAGTCAAATCTGTCTAGAACACGGTTTAGATTATATTAAAGTTTTAGATAATGAATATAAAACTAATATTGAGAAAAATATAGATCTGTTTAAAGATGTTTCAATAGCTATTGCTGCTATGGTTACTAGTTATGCTAGAATACATATGAATACTATTAAATTAGAAATTTTAAAAAATAGAGGTAAAATTTATTATAGTGACACTGATAGTCTTGTAATAGATAATTCATATATAAATCCGACTTGGATAGGAAACCAATTAGGTCAATTTAAATTAGAATATGAAATTAAAGAAGCTTATTTTATTTCTAATAAAACTTATTGTTTAATTTTAAATAATGGTTTAACTGTTATTAAAACTAAAGGTGTGATCAATAATTCAATAACCCTTGAAGATTTCAAATCAATGTATTGGAAAAAATTGAATGTTACTGCAACTAAATTAAATACTAAAACTAATTATGAAAAAGGTTCAGTTTTAATTGAAAAAAAAAGAAGTAATATTAAATTATGATACTTATACAAAAAGAGAAAAAATCTACAACA